TAAATACACTGATGAAGTTGGGTGGCTTTGGACTTCGCTTGCTGATTATTATTTAAGGAGGGGATTGTATGAGAAGGCAAGAGACATTTATGAAGAGGGGATGACCATTGTCGTAACTGTGAGGGATTTTGCGATGATCTTCGATTCTTATACCCAATTCAAAGAGAGCATGGTGGCAACCAGAATAGATAGCTTGAACTTGCATGATGATGAAAATAAGGGCAGTAATGATCGGAGAAAAGATGAAAATGAAGGTAGTGAAAAAAGTGGGGTAGGCTCAAAACTAGAAGATGACAATGGCCAAGGCCCTAGATTATTGGTTGAGGGGCTTAGCAAGAAGACCTTTGTTGGCTTCTGGCTTAATGATGAAAATGATATCGACCTCTGATTGACGAGGCTAGAGAACCTCATGGATAGAAGGCTTGAGCTTGTTAGCAATGTTTTACTTAGACAAAATCCTCATAATGTGCCTGAAAGGCATAATAGAGCAAAGCCCTTCAAAGACAACCCCACTAGACAAATACTTACATTTACCGAAGCAGTGAGGACAATGGATCCTATGAAAGCAGTGGGGAAATCTCACACTTTGTGGGTTTCGTTTGCTCGTCATTATGAGAAACACAGTGACCTTGCGAATGCACGGGTGATATTTGAGAAGGCTATTCAGGTCAACTACAAAGCTCTGGATGATTTGGCTAGCGTTTGGTGCGAGTGGGCAGAGATGAAGTTGAGGCACAATAATTTTAGAGGGACCTTGGAGCTCATGAGGAGGGCAACAGCAGAGCCATCAGTTGAGATCAAACTCCGAGGTATATATAAAAGTCCATTTTTTCTTCTAAAAAAGAATGGATGTTCATGCATTGATGCTTAAAAAAAAAAAGTGTCCAGATGTTATACATAATTCATATACATGTTTCTGTCATGGGATTGTTCCCTACAACAGTGTTCTAGTGAGAAAAGCATTGTCATTAGCAGTCTCTAGGTTCTTGAAGTTGGAGATTTATTAGTAGAACTAGTGTTGAACTGTCAAAAAAGTTAAGTCTTATGAATAGATTAGATTCATTCATTAATGAATGGAGGCAATGGACAAATATGTCATGGTTAAACTGAAATAGTTACCAAGATTAATCAGGTGAACTATAGATATCGGCCATTTGAAAACTCAACGCAGGCATCCAATAATATTTCACAGACCCTGAAGCATGTATCTTAAGTCCTCTTACAAGATTTCATCTAAGATGTTAGCCTCTAGACTCAAACTGGTCCTAGATCAAGGAGTCTCCTAGAATCAAAGTGGTTTTCTTCACAATAAACAGATTCTAGATAGTGCGGTTATAGCTCACGAAGCAATCCATTATTGTCATCAATCTAGGAAACCGGGTCTCATTCTCAAACTTGATTGGGAAAAGTCTTATGACCATGTAGAGTGGTCGATCCTTCTTCATATCGTTTCCAAAATAGGTTTCCATCACAAATGGATACAGTGGATCCAAGTTTGTATGTCCTATACCCCCTTCTTGGTGCTTATTAATAGATCACCTAAAGGATGCTTCTCATCCAGCTGAAGCTCGAGTCAAGGAGATCTACGGTCCCCTTTCTTCGTTGCTACTATGATTGAGATCATCAGGAGGTGCATTTCTTAATTTTTTCACACATGTACCCTTGAAGGTTCTAGAACCTCTTCTCAAGGGGAATATGGCTCCCATCTACAATATGTGAATGACACCCTCATCTTCTTGGATGCAACCTTTGATCAGATTGACAGCCTTTGGACCTTCCTCAAGTGTTTTGACTTGGCCGCAAGTTTAAAATTAACATGTCTGAATTTATACTGCTACACATCAATGTTTAGGTAGATCACCTTAAACTTCTTGTTAGTAGGCTTGGATGTGATATTGATACTCTTCCAACCAAATACTTTGGTCTCCTGCTTTATGAAGGGAATCCTTGGAAAGCTTTGTGGGACCCCATAGTGGAGAATTTCCAAATGAGGTAGTATCACCATTATCAAGCCTGCATAGCCATCTATGCTATGTCTCTTTTCGTTATTCCTGCTTCCGTTATCATGGGGAACTTTATTTGATCCTCTAACATGTCTACGACAAATATTCCCCTCATTGCTTGGGACATTCTTTCCCAAGCTAAAAACTCGGGTGGGCTTATGATTCGGGATCTCAGACTCACCAACAAGGCTGTATCGCGTAAGTGGTGGTGGTGATTTGGCACCAACCATAATTCCCTTTGGCGGCATGTCAGCCAAAATGTGGCTTTGTCTAGTTGACAATTCCACATTCTCTCCCTCCTCTACCTTCTTTAAATGTATATGCTCTTGCAGGGACTGCTTCATGCTATGCCTTGGAGACAAAGTCAACTGAGGAACTCAAGTCCTGTTTTGGAACATTTGTGGATTGGGGACACTACTTTTCATAACCCTATTTTCTAACCTTTTGTCACTAGCTACTGACCATGATGCCACAATTGCTGCCTACTTTTGGCCTAACAACATCCATCAAATCTGGGCTCCTACATTTGGACCAGCCTTCCAAGACCATGAATTTTACTTCTTCTTTAGCCTCTTCAACCACTTGTCCACCATCTTCATCAATAGGAGTTGGGGCGGACAAACCCATTTGGACCAAACACCACTCTGAAAATTTTTTTGTGACACCCTACTATAAATCTTTGCACCTTGAACACCTTCTTCTCCTCACAATCCATCACAAAGCTTGGCTAACTATTATCTTACCCGAAATTCAAGCTTTTTCTTGGCTTTCTATTTCTCACAAAAACCTAACCATACATCAACTCCAAAGTGAGGTTTTAACTTGGCCAAAGGTGTTATATATGTGAGGAAGAGGAGTGGTCTTGCTCCCACCTTTTCATCCACTGTCCCTTTGCATGATTGGTTTGGTGCAAGCACTTAAGGGACTCAGTTACAAGTGGGTAACTCCCTAATATTAAAGGGTTTTTTGCTGCTTCTCCCCCCTTTTACTAGGGCAGGGACTGTCCTGTGGAGAGCCTACATCCAAGCAAACTTATGGTCTATTTTGAAGGAGCGCAATTCTCATATCTTTTGTGAAACTCATATCTTCTGTGAAACCAAGTACACGACAACAACATGAGCCGAAAAGGAAAAAACACTCACCATCTTCTGGGCTTCTAATTGCAAAACCCAAAGGTTTTACCAGTTATGACTTCTAAAATAATTGGCTCCAAATTACGAAGTCAAGAATTTGAAATCCCTCTTGCTCATGCATGTGGATCCCTCCACCGCAATGCACCTATATGGCCAATATCGACGGTTGATCTTTGGGTAAGCCAGGTCCATGCGGAGTTGGAGGTCTTTTCAGAGATTATAATGGTAATCGCCTTCATTTCTTCTCCTTGCATGCACATTGGCCCACGAGACTCAAATTGGGAGGAGGCTCATGCCTTGCTCAAAGCTCTAAAGAGGTTCCATCCCAGCTAAGGCAGTATTTTAATCATCGAGGCCGACTCTCATAATGTCATTGCATTGGCATCCAAATCCTCTGAACCCCTTGTTTCATACATTTGATTTTATGTTTATTTCCTTTGCAAGGCCTTTTAAATTGTCTTCCCGCATACCTGGCGGGAGAGAAATCAAGAAGTTGACCAACTGGTCAAATAGAGATCCCAGAGTAGTCCAACCTTCAACAATATACTTGATGTTCTAAGATGAATATATGTCTTTCTCTGTGTTCTATTTTGTCTCTTTCCTTCTTCTTCCTTTTTTTTTTTTTTTAAGTTCTGTCTCTCTACGATTCTGTGTGTTTCTATTTTCTTTACTTTATGTTCTTTTTTAATCTCTTACCTTCTCACCTAATTCTCAATCTTACCAATTCTCCCTCCCCCCCAACCCTCTTCCTTTTCTCAATTTATGTATGAGCACCCGACATGGAGGCGCCTTTAGTCACTCCTTATGAGTTTTTGTAAATATTATATTAGCGTATTTATATTAATGTCAAAGACGAAGATGATTTCCTTCAATTAAGTGACTTCGATTCTAATTTGGTTAAGTGAGGGTTTTGTTATAAGGTTCTGTTGATGTAACATATCTATAAGCGCACCTCATGCCTCTCAATTCTGGGTTTTCTCCTTTTTTTTGTTATTATTAGTATAACATTTTTGTTGCGTGTATGTTACGCACATACTTAATCTTCTGGCATATTGCTGCTGGTATAACGCTTAGATGCCCACTAACAAGACGCCCACTAACAAGATTATTAACAGGACTCACTCTTTTTGTGCAGTTGCTGCTGATGGAAATTAGCCAGTACAGATGAAACTTCACAAATCTTTGAAGCTCTGAGCCTTTTATGTTGATTTGGAAGAGAGCCGTGGAAATTTGGAATCAACTAGAGCCATGTATGAGAGGATACTTGATCTGAGACTAGCTACTTCCCAAATTATAATGAACTATGCATTGATTCTAGAGGTAAGGATGCAATTCTTGTTTAGATTACTTTTAAAGACCATGTCATCTAATTCCCATCGGTGCCATGCTCATCTATGTCTCTTTCGATGGCAGGAGAATAAATACTTTGATATGCTCATCTATGTCTCTTTTGATGACAAGAGAATAAATACTTTGAAGAGGAGTTAAGATTTTTAAATATCCACATGTCAAGGATATCTGGGTCACATATCTTTCTTCGTGAAAAGATATGGGAAGGCAAAATTAGAACGTGCAAGAGAGTTATTTGAGGAAGCAGTTGAGACTAACATTTTGTCTTTTAATTACATGAGAAATAGGAGTGCTCACGAGCTTCCTGTTTGGATAAGCAAATTCTTTTGGCGACACTACGAGATGATGACATGGTGCATCACCAATTTCAATATTCACCGAGTCTACTTCAATAAATTACCATGTACATCCAACTAATCATTCAAAAACCAAGAAGTAAAATATTGTACATGCACAAGCACAAGAGCACGAGCATAAACATGCGTGCTCATATCAGAACATGGATAAAATTGGATAGAGAAAGAGGATACTAAATGAATAAACCTGAAAGAAGGAAAACCTCAATAACTTTGAAACCATAAGTAACAACAATAAGATCTTCCAGAACTCTCTTTCAAGTTCCATAGGATTAAGAGCATATAAAAAATCTAAAAGCAGCACCCCCAGTGATACTAACCTGTAACCAAGCAGTGCCTTTCATAAGGACCTTTTCCTTTTCTTGATTGGTGCCCTCCACAAGATTCTTATCCGACAAAAACAAATGAAGCTCTGTCAATTTGTTCAGCTTCACAAGATTGTCAATGGATTGCAGCTCAAAACAACCTTCGAAATTTAGATATCCCAAATCATGCAGATTTTCAATGGAGCAAACGTCAACTAGATGCTTGCAATGACCCAAATACAATGTCTGTAAGTTCATAGAGAACTTAGAAGCAACTATCTTGTTCAGTCCTGGGCAGTCCCTTATTCGAAGTGACTTGAATGCTCCAACAATCTCAACTCCTTGATGTTTGAGAAGGAAAATATTGATACAGATTAGAGATTAGCAGGATACTTTTCAATACCAAGCATATTGGATAGCCTTAGATTTTCAAGTTCCAATTCCTCAAGGGATTCAAAAATGAATTTTAAGAAACCATCAGTAATAACACACTCATTAATGCACAACTTTTTTAGTGCAGAAAGGTCAGGGAAAGCCTCAGGATCCAATTTAAATCGAATGCCAGATAGCGAAAGGTGACCAAAGCAAAAAGATTGCTGACAGGCAGCTTCAAAAGCTTTCAACAGTTATGGACAAACAGAAACTTCATATTTTTAAGTCACTCATTTCCATGGGTAAACGGTGTACACGACAGTATAAATTGGAAAATGATGTAAACTTCCTTAAATGCTTAATGGAACTTCCCAAATCCTCAAGCAATTTGAAAAGCCAATGGCAAGTTTTTTCAATTGAGTCAACTTTGTAAACAAAGTTGTAGGAAATGCTCTCAGTTCATGCCCATTCCATAGAATGAGTTCCTCCAAACTGGTAAGCTCACCAAAATAATCAGGGAGCTCAGTGAACTGAGAACAAGAAACCCAAAGTTTTCTGATGCATCTTTGACAGGATATGACACTAGGAAAGTAGAATGTTTTGCCTGAGATGGCCCGACAAACCTCTAATTTTCGAAATCCCCCAATGATACCTTTCTCAACCTGCAATTTCCAAGAGTGTTCAAAATCAAGATATCTGATTTCTGGGAGATTTTGGAATGATTCAGGGATTTCTAATAAGGCCCTACATTCTTTAAGATCTAAGTGTTCCAACTTCAACAGATCTCTGATTGTAGGTGGCAAATAGTCTAATCTTTCACAATCAAATGAATCCAGATATTGCAAATTTCTCAAATTGCCTATATTATCTGGCAAAGCTTGCATATTTTCACAACCAGAGAGATCCAAGTAGTTTAAAGCTGGAATATTACAAACTTCATCAGATATTGTGACAAGGTTAAGGCAATGACTCAAGACTAGTTTTTCAAGTCTCATCAACAATTTTATGGATCTTGGAAAGCCCTGAAGATAAACACAACCTCTCAAATTCAGCTCCAGCAATTGTACAGGTATCTACAAAACAAGGACACAGAATAATTATCAGCCCAAACAACTGACACGGGAAAAAATGGCATAATTAGATTGACATAAAACTCTGCCAAGTACAAGTCCTGCAGAAATGAATCTGTTAATTGCCTGTCTAGTAAAAAAACTAGAAAGTTAGACCTAACATACGAAATATGCTTGAGAGTAGATGAATTTCAGCGAATGATATTGGCAAGACTAATTACTTGCTTAACACCTACTCTGTTATTGATCAAAATTTTGATATCCATCTAGCCTATTGTTGTTAAAATGAGCAAAAGGTAATTACCTACCTCCTGGTCATCGTTCCACAAGTGAAAATTTTTTCCTCCTGATATGTCCAAGATATGCAGATTTGTAAGAGGCAATCCAACCGAAAAAGATTCACTCGAGGAGTGGCGCCAATGAAAGCACACAAGTTTCCTCGAGAGAAACCAAAATCACCTTCAACACGAGCATCTTCTAGTATCAGCAACTGTAATTCTGTCATGCGAGCAAATGAACTTAGAGACCACACCAAAGGTCCTCCTTTTTTCCTTATGACTTTCGATTTTGGTACAACAAAAGAATGATTCCTGTCATCTTCAACTGCATTCACTATCAGGGTAAGTCCCTGAACACTTTCAGAAATGAAAATTATAAGAAGAATTAGCTCCAGGATAATGGTTTACTAATTCTATAGATTACAAGCAACCATGTTCTCTAGAAAATAAATTCATAAAACTAATTATAATTACTACAAGAACGAAAAGAAAGAATAGGCTCCAAGGATTTAGGAAAAATTTGCAAAAATAAAATCTAGCACGTTCTCTGCGATCGAAAATCATTAGTAACAACAATTATCATAAGAATAACCATAATTATCATAAACATATATTATTCTACTGTTCCCTATCTATATCACATTGGGAAAAAAAAAATGCAGCTTACATCTTCATGAAAATCTCATAATTAGAAATATGTTGAATTATCTTTCACAGTTGTTGTTGAAGTGCAGTTAAGTAGTATGCAACAATATGTTGTTATTTTGGCAATTCATTAAGTGCAGTCATTTCAACAATCACAATAAATTTACAACAAAGATAACAAGATATCATTTTTTGATGTTGAACCAATAACATGTCCTCTCTATTTCAAATACATTTATTCCATTTATGTTGTAAAATAATTTTTTTCCTATTTCTTCAATTTGATAAGACCCATTACTCTGGCTATACCATAGGAAGCTGATCATGCTATTTCTCTAACATGTTTCAATTTGATTGAATGTTTGGCATATCATTGACATAGATAGAAATCCAAAATTAATGACCCATTCAACAAGAAAATGAACTAGCCAGGTATAGAAAGGAATCAGAAAACAATGTTTTTATACTCACGGGTATTGGGATAGTCAAAGATATATCTGAAAGCATGTAGATGCATGGCTGCAAATGCATCTTCCAATGCAAGGTGTCTTCCATGCAAACAGGAACCCTTTAATTTGAAAAGGAGAACTACTACAAAAACAGGGCAAGAAACAAACACTTCCTTCATCCAAGACTTTAATAACATCATTGGGCCGCCATAGGCAAGAGCGACGTCCAGGATTGTTGAAGTCCTCCTCTTCTAATATTTTTGCAGCCATATCTCTGAGTTGGTCATATATACGAAACTTATTCTTCTCCAATTTTACAAGGCATTTTCTGTTGCAGAGACTGAACCCCAACAGACCCACCACTCAAATGCATCCCAAACTCTGATGGCCATGTCTTTATTTTCACCGATAAAAAAAGATGCAATATCCAAGAATATTTGCTTCTCTGACCAATCAAGAGCATCATAACTGACTCTAAGATGCTTATCAATATCTCCTGGTATAATCTCAACAATTGTTTGTAGTATTCACTCCCACATAGGAATGGTTTCTCCAAAAACCTGAGCTCCAAGAGTTTCCAGAGAGAGGGGCAACCCAATACAGTAAGTGACAAACTTATCAACTAGGACATCAAATCCAAGAGCAGGTTGGGGCATGAGAACAGCATGCCAGCAAAAAAGCTCCTTTGCATGATGCTTTTCAAGCCCATCCATATCATATATCAACACATTTGGGATACATTCAACAGTCGTCTATCTCTGGTTGTAATTAAAACTATGCTAGTGCAGTGGACAGCCTCAGGAACCCATAATGCATCAAGCTGATCAAAGTCATCAATATTTTTGAGCACTATAATGACTTCTGCCCTAGCCAAACATTTTCTTAGAAGAAATTTCCCCCGATTAATACTCTGAATTTGATGGTCTATTTGAAGTAAGTCCTTCAGTAAAAACCTTGAACTTTCTCCAATCCAGCTCTCACAACTCTATCCTTGATATCGTCAACAAAGCAAGATGCCTTGAACTGTGAGCGCATAATACTAAAGAATTCTCTGGCCAGTGTTGTTTTGCCTATGCCACCCATTCCTACCAATCCAACCACCCTTGCACCTCTACCTTCACGCCAAACTTCTAAAAGCCTCTAGAGTTTCTCTGTTTTCTCAGCCAAGCCAACTGGGTGCTTTACAACTTCCAATACATTGGCATTCACCATTTTGATCACATCTTGCACCACAGCCTTCAAGAGTTTGCATGAATTCCTGCACAGAAAGATTCCTTTTAGATGTTATTTGCATGCATGCATATATCTATATATATATATATATATAGATGATGATGTTATTGTTAACCCAAGGGCTAACAGGAAGATATGAGCCCAATGGTCCAGATTGAATCTGGGCCGATCTGACGATCACGGATGCTTGATAGGCTTTGAATTTTAATTTTTTTTTCTACAAATCCAAATCATTTGAAATTTTAGGTGTGTGTTCATCAAAAATAGGTGAATCTTCGAAACATATCAAAAACATATTTTACATGAAAAAATTAACCAAAATACCCCCGTAAAGTTTCAGGGGTATTTTGGTCAATTTATCT